GTAAACTCTATGGACCACTGAATGAACTAACAACGACAGTGAAATTTATACTAGAGAAAAAACTGCTGATATAGACAACTTATTTCAGGCGAACGAAAGAAGAAGATAACCGTCAACTCCAAGGTGTCCAAACGTAAGGTTAGGTACACAGATCTCTCTACTGGTTTTATTCACAACCATTCTGAAACATCTCAAAGGTTTCAGGTTTGAACAACGGATTAACATCATGGCACACGGGTAGTAGTAACCCATAAGTGCTCCATTCTTTTAACCCAAGTCTGAGTTCGAAGAGGCTCTGATGCACCGGCGAGGGTCCTGAAATACTTTGGGTAGATTTTAAACTCCAAATTTTGCTCGGGCAGTGCCGTTAGGCTACTCTTTTTGATTTACAACTGCCAAAATATTTTACGTGCGTAACAATGCAAACTGGCGTCCGATCACACTAGCCAGAGACCAGGGGGAATTACTAGAGGTCCAAGTCCACATGAAAAAATCCCAGCCCTTGACGGGGATTGAACCCAGAACCTCTAGCACTCGACGCCGACACCATGCCTCTAGACCACGCAGCCCCCTATCTCACAGGTGGTTTTTTTCTCATGTTCTTTTGACAATGTCTATATATAAATATTGTATTTATAATTTGTCTTTTTGCCTCTACTGGGATAACAAGGTGTTTAAAAACCGGAGCAAGTTGGCACATTAAATTGCTGGCTTGTTGGATGATACCACAAACCAAAACCTTATACACACTTTTATCATCAACTCTGATATTTTCTGTTTATTATAGCCGAGATGAATATGTTCAATGACATACAATGAAAACTGGCAAAAATATTCTTATAAGGTAACTGTCATACAGGCATCAAAAATACATGCAAGCTCAAGCCATTCAGGAAACTTGTGAATTATAAACAAAAGGGATACAGAATCCAATCCATTTCAGCCCTGGTTGAAGTCATGTTAAAAAATAAATAACGTCCTTTAGTTTGCTGTGAAAGGAAACATTTTTGTTTGCAATTTGTGAAAACTTTCATGCGATCAGTATCTGCCTTCATACAGTGTTATTCAAAACGATGGATACACTTCTCATTCATATATATTACATTTCCTGGAATATAAATAATACACATAAGAGAGAGAAGGTCTAAAGTTCTGAATACTACCGCTGGGGTGCAACGAACTCAAGTCACGCAAGAGATGCTTCGCTGTATGAGTTCGGTTACTACCAATGTTATACTGAACATCAATAACCTCTATTGTAAGTCTGCAAACTTTAGACCTTCCTCTTGCATGTATGTATATTAACTCTTTCAGTCCCAAGGAACGCATCATAGGTTTTTACCTAGAAGCCCAATGAACACAAGATGTGCCTATTTTACGTCTATCTAGACTATCCCTCGGGCCTCTGATGCTAAACCCCCCAGACTCAAAAGAGTTAATATGTAATGTATATTCAAGAAAATATAAATGAATGAAAGTGTATCTGTCATTTTGAATAACCCTATATATATATATTTATATAAGGGTGTCATCATCATTATCCTGCCGGGCTGTCATTCGTCCCCCATTGTGTTCTACCCTGTTCAATGTTCAGCATCTTTGCAACATTAATTGTCATTTATCTTGAATGCCCTGGTTTTCTCAATTCATTACAGTGTTGCTGTTTCTCTATTCTCTAAATTAACCTGATCAATAATGACTCAGAACTTGTGTCAGTCGTATGCTTGTTACATCAGTTTCCGGATGAGTCCGACGATAGTCACAGACTGACTTTTCAGTTTCCTATTTATTCACAGCTCTTTTTTAAAGGTGAAAATGCACACAGTTGTCATTTATGATAATGTGAAGCCCGCTAGTTCAACTTCTCGTTCAGTTTAACCTTTTCATGGTGTTTTGTTTACATAACTAGTCCACCTCTGACCAAAGCCAATGGCTTTGAAAAAAATATAAGTAACATGATTACGATAACTCCCCCTTCTCCTAGCATTGTGGATTAGATATAGCCAGATATGTACCAAATGAAACACACACACACAGAATCCAAACACACGTCAAAATCGGACAATCTATCCATAAAAAAACATTTACAGCATGTGTGGTATCAATACATTTGGATTTGTGCTGGTGCTATGGAGTTGATTCAATGTGCTAACCTCCCCTGTGTGGTCTATGGGAGAAAACTGGAGTATTTATGAATGTTTTATGAAAGCCAAACCAACCAGCACCGTTCAGTCCATACACACATTTCCACTCCCTAGTTGTGTGTTTCACAAATCCTTTACAAATCAAAACTAACCAGCACCATTCAGTTCATACAAGCATTTCCACTCTCTTGTTGTGTGTTTCACAAGGTTAGTTGAGTATCCTTTACAGGACGTTGCAGAACCGACCCCAACAGCCCCTGGCTGTTGTGTGGTTTCTCTAGGCAAATTTACGTCCAGTAGTTTGCCATTGCTTTCTGGACTGTAGGCCCACTGATACCACTGTCCCCCTCTGTGGGTTCCGGGGCCCCATTGTGGGGAAAACAAGAATAGACCCACTGCCTCCCCAAAAGCATGTCGTAAGAGTCGACTAACTGGGGAGCTTCCTTTGAAGTCGGAGTACATCTGCCGGAGAGGCAAGGAACCAACAGTCTATTCAAGAGAATGAGATATGTAAAATTGATGCACACGCAACACTCAGGTTCTGGAGCAGGACTGCAGTTCAGCAGTGGACGAACAACCAGAACTTTCCGCCAGAGTGTACAGCTGGTGAACGTGAAAGAAAAAAAGAAAGGAAAATACCACTGTCGAAACCAACGCAAGACGCATGGCCCGCAGCTGGGGTCGAACCCGGCACCCCGGCATTACGAAGCGTTTGCATCGACTAGCCACAGAGCCGACATGTGTTTCACAAATCCTGTACAAATCAAAACTAACCAGTACCATTCAGTTCATACAAGCATCAGCTCTCTCATTGTTGTGTTCCACAAGACAATCGAGTCGACAGCAACACATCTGTGGTGAGAGCTGTAGTAGGAAGTGTAGTGGATAAACATTTGACAGCTGACGTGAAGGTCGTGAGTTCAAATCTACAACAGGCAGATGCTGAAAAAGACCTGCGCTTTCAGGTCAAAATGGGCACAGGAAATGCCATGGGAAGTAAAGTGGCCTACATGAGTGCCAATTAGCCTGTTGAAAATATTTCTCTAGCATCACAGGCCCAATGTGCAATTATTTTTTGTTTACATCTCTGCTGATACTTTCACTGGCTCTCCCCCACCCACTTCTTCTTCGACATTTCCATTGTAAGCTCCAGTGGGAAAGTCTTGGTTGTTTGTCCATTTGGACTTTGTGCCCGGGGTCTGAGTGTTGCCTGTACATTTTACTGGCTTATTTATGAACAGTTGGTTGTTCTTACCACTCGGGCAGATGCACTTCGAAGGTAGTCCCCAAACTGGTTCAACTCCTACGACATGCTTGTTGGGCAGCCTATGGGTCTGCTCCTATTTTCCCCATAATAGGACCCCGGAATCCAAATAGGGACCCCCCCCCCCCCCTCCCCACCCGACATACAGGCTGTGTCCTCTACACCACAAGCAGTGGTGATCAGCAAGCTCAGCCTGATTCCAATGAAGCCTTATTGTGAAAACAAACTTTTTACAAATGACACACACACAGACCCCATAATCTCTGCATATTAACTCAGCCTCTGAGACACAAGTAACACACAGACCCCATAATCTCTGCATATTAACTCAGCCTCTGAGACACAAGTAACACACAGACCCCATAATCTCTGCATATTAACTCAGCCTCTGAGACACAAGTAACACACAGACCCCATAATCTCTGCATATTATCTCAGCCTCTGAGACACAAGCAACACACAGACCCCATAATCTCTGCATATTATCTCAGTCTCTGACACAAGCAACACACAGACCCCATAATCTCTGCATATTATCTCAGTCTCTGACACAAGCAACACACAGACCCCATAATCTCTACATATTATCTCAGCCTCTGAGACACAAGTAACACACAGACCCCATAATCTCTACATATTATCTCAGCCTCTGAGACACAAGTAACACACAGACCCCATAATCTCTACATATTATCTCAGCCTCTGAGACACAAGTAACACACAGACCCCATAATCTCTGCATATTATCTCAGCCTCTGAGACACAAGTAACACACAGACCCCATAATCTCTGCATATTATCTCAGCCTCTGAGACACAAGTAACACACTGACTAATAAGCCAGCATCCAGCCGCCCATCGCCGGTAAGCAAATGCAAAGACACCTCACTGTAACAATCTGACATGTCAACAACAATTACATGTTACCAATAATGTATCTGGTCATAAACAACATAAGATTATGTTCAAAATAATTTGTATTTATTCTATTCATGTTACCTTTCCTGATTTTCTTTGCCTGCCCCAAAATTGCCCCACCAACTTGATTTCTCACACTAAAAAGGTAACTCTGCCTCAAAAACAAGGCCTAGCCTTCATGAAGCCACACCAAGCCTTGCAAAGACACCTTTTTTTAACGTTAAAATGACAGATAACTTTACCAGACTAAAAAGTAAAACAAAAAAACAGCAACATAGGACTGCCTGACAGTGTTAACCTTGTTTCTAAGCAGGAAAATGAGATAATAAAGTCAACACACGTCCATATGTACATCGGGGAAAACAATCTTGGTGAGCAACATTTGCAGCAATAAGAAATCTGCCTGCCAAACAACAACAGCAACACATTTTAACTTCACAATTTGTTAACTATATTAAAAACAAATATTCAAAAATAATTCACACTCGTTTTACCTTCTTGTAAAAGAGCGTTTGTGGAACTAAACAGACAGACAGTATACAGCCAATGTGGCAGAAAGGTGCCCATTCAAATCTTCATTGTCACTTATTTCTTGCAGAGCCTTCCACATCACACAACAACTGTCTGGTCCATGTCAGGTCACAAAATCAACATTCTAGTAGTCGTCTGGCCACGCTAAGGACTCCCTCCTCTGAAAAAAAAAACCACATTACAACAATATTACATTTACACTAATAGCATCATTCATATGCGCATAAATACATCTAGGCTTAGGCAATGCAAACACGGTTTTAATTCCTAAACATCCAGGTTGATTCCAGTTCTGGGCGATTTGACAGCAGACTGCTTTGCATTGATTTTAACAATGTATTGTGAGCCGGCTATTAAGAATCAATAGTTAGTTTCTTCTTCTGCCTTTTAGCCCTCAACCAACTCATGCCAAGTTTTTCTATGCATGCAGCTTTCCCCGTCTTTTTAACTCCACTCTCTAGCTCCCTTTCTCCATGTGTTTTTTCTCTTCCTTTATTCCTATGCGCCTGAATAGTTACTGAACCTATAATTGCCTAGTATAGTCACAACCTTTATTCCTATGCGCCTGAATAGTTACTGAACGTATAATTGCCTAGTATAGTCACAACCTTTATTCCTATGCGCCTGAATAGTTACTGAACGTATAATTGCCTAGTATAGTCACAACCTTTATTCCTATGCGCCTGAATAGTTACTGAACGTATAATTGCCTAGTATAGTCACAACCTTTATTCCTATGCGCCTGAATAGTTACTGAACGTATAATTGCCTAGTATAGTCACAACCTTTATTCCTATGCGCCTGAATAGTTACTGAACGTATAATTGCCTAGTATAGTCACAACCTTTATTCCTATGCGCCTGAATAGTTACTGAACGTATAATTGCCTAGTATAGTCACAACCTTTATTCCTATGCGCCTGAATAGTTACTGAACATATAATTGCCTAATATAGTCACAACCTTTATTCCTATGCGCCTGAATAGTTACTGAACGTATAATTGCCTAGTATAGTCACAACCTTTATTCCTATGCGCCTGAATAGTTACTGAACGTATAATTGCCTAGTATAGTCACAACCAACAGGCAAGAAATACTGCGACTGGTTCTGTGACACCATATACGGGATAAACAGCTAACTAGAATCATTTTTGGAGTTGTTTTGTTGTTCATCTATCACAAGTGACGAAGACGACTCTTTCTTTCATCTGTCATGAATCTATGTTGATTGCCTGATAGTCAGAAGGTGATTTATATGCCCCATACATATGTTTAGCTGCCCTTTTTCTACATACCGCGCAAGTAGCTGCACCCGTTTGGATAGAAATTTATTATGTATTCCAGTTTTGCGCAGTGTCAGGGTTTATGGTAAAGGCTTTAAGTGTAAGTGACGGCTATGTAGCATGACTTCCGGCCACCATAAGAGGTTCTACTCGTTTCTATCTCACCATGAAAGATTACTGGGAGATGATGGTCTGGTACGTGGACGAGGTGACCTGCCCAATGAAACTGACTATCAGGATAGATCGGCACTGAGAATGCCAGCTCTTTCCAATACGACAGAAGCTTGTCTCAGACAGTGTGGAACAGCCCACCTTTGACCTATGAGAGGGCTTCCAATGAAAATCTTAAAAGTGACGGAAGAGGTAATTACAACCATGCTACTGACTTGTAACCTGTCAAAATTGTTTCAATACTGCTGTTCAGAATGTCAAGAGTGTTAAGCACATATTAACTTGCTGGACTGAAGAACTAGACGCCTCATCAATGCTGAAAGGCAGACAGGATCTAGAGAACAGAAGATGGTACAGACAACAAAGATTAAATAAACTCACCTGTTGCTACCTGGGCTGCTTCTGGCAGCACTCGGACTCCGGCTTCTGGCAGCACTCGGACTCCGGCTTCTGGCAGCGCTCGGACTCCGGCTTCTGGCAGCGCTCGGACTCCGGCTTCTGGCAGCGCTCGGACTCCGGCTTCTGGCTGCACTCGGACTCCGGCTTCTGGCAGCACTCGGACTCCGGCTTCTGGCTGCACTCGGACTCCTGCTTCTGGCAGCGCTGGGACTCCTGCCTCTATCACTACTATCATCTCGGGGTCGTTTCTCTACTGGCCTTAGGGGCTCTTGACTTTCACTTCGGCTTCTCCTGCCGCCACCTTTCGGACTGATCTTGCTGCCAGCCCGATCTTTTGAGTTATTTTTTTCTACCCATCTCCCCTCTACACTCATGCTCCGATCGCGTTCAGCACTTCTTGGACTCCTGTCTTTGTCCTCGTGACTTGGACGTCTATTCTCTTTTTTGCTGCTTTCCCTGTTGCTACTTCTACTCTTTGTGTCTTTACTTTCGCCTCTCTGTTCACGGCTGCCACTCCTGTCCTTTTTCTCATTACTCTTGCTTTTCCTATCCTGTCTCTCCCTGCTGCCACTCCTTTTACTACCCCACCTACCCCTGTCTCTTCTCCCATCATCATCGTTTATTTTCTCATCAAGACTGCTGTCTCTATCCTTCTTTTCATTCCTTGAACTATTCTGGTCATTGTCTGGACTTCTTCTGTCTCTGCGAGCTCTCTCCCTGCTTCTATCTCTGCTTCTTGCCGTCCGACTCCTGCTTCTCTCCTTACGGTCTCTCTCTCGGCTTCTGCTTCTTCTTCTACTGTCTCTCCTAACAGCTCTATCTCGACTTCCACTTCTATCTCTCTGCCGACTTCTGCTTCTGTTTCTCCTAGAGCGGCTTTGACTGCGAGATCTTGACCTCCGCCGATCACGTGATCTGGATCTTGACCTTCAAAACAAAAACAACGAAGTATAAGATATACAATTCATTTCTACTGAAGCAAATCTGTGACTATGGAAAAAAAAAAAACATAGCTTTGTTAAACTTTCACATAGTATTCTGGACAATTCTATTAAGAGGTAATTTACAATGTTTTAAAATATTAAATTCCTATTCCACATTAAAATATCATAATGCTTCCATTGTTTTCTTCTCAATATGTAATTCCCCAAAACAAGTTTATTATTCACACATTTTTAAAATGTCTTAAATTAAGAAGCAATATCTTTGCTTGGACATTACCCAAATAACATAAGAGAAAACTGACCTGTCAAAGACTGTGAAAAAACCCAGAAGAGATTATGCGAGAAATGAAGATCTCTTGGAACAATACCCAATGATCTATTCATTTAGAAACAAGGATGGAAATGGTTCTGCCACCTAAATTTGAATACACACTGATGCCGGCAGTGACACAGCATGCACAAGAAAATGGGGACATCAAGAGATAGGGAGACACAGAAAAAAATAAACTGAGTGAGTCACTGACAGCCTGCAATGGATCAGCTACCCATCATCTGTTTAACTGTGACACCAAGCGGCACAAAGCAGATTCTGGCAGAAGGTTTCTGTTTCGGATCAAGACAACTGATTCCCTGTTGTGATACAGTTTGATCAGGGCATCTCATAGAGAGAGAAAAGGATAAGATCAAGTGCAGTCATCTGTGGTTCCCAGACCTAGCAACATTGATTTTATACCCAATGTCTACAAATGGCTACAGAATCCTGACAAACTGCATTGCGCTTGAAAACACTCTTGTGGCCAGACTTTGAGAAATGTTCCATCCAAAGAGAACAAAGGATATGATTAACAGTCTTGTGGTTACTGGACCTTCTGCATATGCCCTCAAAAGGAGTTTACTTGTGGTTGACAGCTAGGGAGCGATATCTGAGTCTTTTGGCACAACACATCCACTTTCAGAACAACCGTAATCAATTAGTCGCCTTTTATGACATGCTTGTGTTAAGGTTTTTTGAGTCTACCCCACTCCTCCCCCATGCTTGTGTTAGGTTTATTGAATCTATCCCACTCTTCCCCCCAAACACATGGGAAGTCTTGGACATAAAACATTTAATTTTTGACCACTTGATTCTAAGAATGGCTGCAGAATCATGCTGAACAAAACTACAAGTGATAGCTCTGTACCCAGCTTCACAGAAGAATTCAGTTCTGCTGACAGTAATGGATATGAACAGGAAATTTTTTGTTTTTTTGTTTTTGTTTTTAACATGACTTAATTTCTATAAATAACTGCTGAATCATGTCAAACAAACTGCAACTAGCAGTTCTGATCTTGGCCTCAAAGAGAAATGTAGCTCTGAACAGAAAGATCTATTCATGGTTAAAGAAAAAGGCGAAGGATATTTAACCAGGGTAAACCAGCAAATATTGATAACAACTTCAACTGACATGGTTTAAAAAACCACAACAAGAAGCACATACGATCGATACAACAGAGCCATAGATATTAATATTTTCATTAAGTTGAAAAAAAAAAAAAAAAAAAGAAAAAAAACTATAAATTATAACCTAAAAATATTTAGGTAAACAACATCCTGTTCCAAACCCTACTGGGTTACAACAGGGATGCAGAGTTTACTAATATTGTCTACAGTGGAGTTTGTGTATGTTTTAACCTAGCCTTTCAAGCAACTATACTCCTCACCCTCACTAGTGTGATGTGCACTGCCTTACGCTTCTATTTCAGCCTTTTATGTCAAATTTCTCGCTATTTCGGCTAACAAATTTCACTAATTAAATTAAACCTATCAGTAAAAACCCTACAATGTAGTCACCGATTCTGGCTTTTCTTCCAAGTGTTTTTCCTGATCTGATGTAATTTAAACTTGCCCTAATTGCTTCCATGTTCAAGCTTTACTTCTTTCGCACATCATGTTGCGGTTTAAAGCCAGACTACAATATCTGCACATTTTGGTCCAGCGAATCCGACTTCAGCAAACCCCTTAACTTGTCGTCTTTAATAAACTTGCTAGTCATCAGGCATTGGGTCAATTTTGGGGGGGCTCCCAAATGGGGCCCTGGAATCCACACTGGGGGTTTCACTAATTATATACAGGAAGCTAAAAGGATTATGGCAGTCAGTTATATATTCAGCATAACGTTACAAGTACCTTGAGCGCCGCCAATAATTTCCTGAATATAATATTCTGCAATAAAGATTTTTATCTTCTTTTAGTAAGAAGAAAACTATGATTAAAAGTAAAAGAATGCTGATTTTTAAAAAATATCGTGTGTACTTTTTTTTGCACCTAATAGATAACTTAACTGTATATTGTGCTATTTTTATGTCTCTTAATTTAAAAGAGGGAGAAAAACAAAACCACACTGACACAGTGAAAAAAAAAACATTTCACAAATTATACCCTTTGATCCGAAATGTCCAACAACAACACATACACAACAAGTCAGTCCACACAGCGTCTTCACAACGCTGATTCACTTCACAGGGGGGCCTCACGGCCAATCACAAGCTTGCATCCCCGAGAGGCCAGAGGCTGACCAACCAATCACAATGCTCCAAGGCCCAGCTAACCACACTCCTCCTGGGCCCAACCAATCACAGGGCTTGTTGATCAAACCAATAGATCAACCATCACACAGGCTTTAGCACTACCATCAATACCCATCCTCAACATGACCATCATCGCTCCACCCCTCACATGGTGAAGTTTAAACCAACACAACCAAACAGCCTGCACAAAAATAAGAGCAACCAAGGGAAATCTTGTATTATTTCTGACTGTCCACATTACAATATCAAATAACTATGGCTTTGCAAGCATTTCAGTAAAGAAGCCAATAACTACACTGATCATATAGTTTGTGTCACATCTGTATGCTCAACTCCTTATTTCATTAATCTCTTTTACTGCAACAAATGTATGAAGCCAACAATAGACAATATTATGCACTGTATTTATTGCAATTTTTTTTAATTGACAGGATGGGCTTTGAAGGCAATTTTATGTTCAGCAGTTTGCCTTCTTAATGGTCAGAGATCCACAATTTTATGTTCAGCAGTTTGCCTTCTGAATGGTCAGAGATCCACAATTTTATGTTCACACTTCATGGTCAGAGATCCACAATTTTATGTTCAGCAAAAGATCAATTTTATGTTCACACAGCAGAGATCCACTATGTTCAGCAGTTTGCCTTCTGTAAGTCAGAGATCCACATTTTTTCAGTTTTCTGAATGGTCAGAGATCCACAATTTTATGTTCAGCAGTTTGCCTTCTGAATGGTCAGAGATCCACATTTTATGTTCAGCAGTTTGGCTTCTGAATGGTCAGAGATCCACAATTTTATGTTCAGCAGTTTGCCTTCTGAATGGTCAGAGATCCACAATTTTATGTTCAGCAGTTTGCCTTCTGAATGGTCAGAGATCCACAATTTTATGTTCAGCAGTTTGCCTTCTGAATGGTCAGAGATCCACAATTTTATGTTCAGCAGTTTGCCTTCTGTCAGAGATCCACAATTTTAAATCTGAATGTCAGAGATCAATTTTATGTTCAGCAGTTTGCTCAGTCAGAGATCCACAATTTTTGTCAGCAGTCTGCCTTCTGAATGGTCAGAGATCCACAATGTTATTACACAGCCTTCTGAATGGTCAGAGATCCACAATTTTATGTTACTGTTTGCCTTCCAGAGACAACAATTTTATGTTCAGCAGTTTTGCCTTCATGGTCAGAGATCCACAATTTTATGTTCAGCAGTTTGCCGATGGTCAGAGATCCACAATTTTATGTTCAGCGTCTGAATGGTCAGAGACAATGTGTTCTGAATGGTCAGAGATCCACAATTTTATGTCTAAGCATCTGAATGGTCAGACAATTTTATGTTGTGAATGGTCAGAATCAGCAGTTTTTCTGAATGGTCAGAGACATCATTATGAAAATCCTCAGTACAATGTTTAAATACCAGTACACAATAAGTTGGCCCATGTTGACTTTATCAGCGGCAATTATTTGTCTGTTTGCCAGCATTTTCCTCATGAGGACAATGTGTTCAAAAATTTTTTGTCATCTCCCCAGACAATGTGTTTACACAATATTTTCTAACCATTCTCCTCAGACAATGTGTTTACACAGAATTTACCGTCCAGACAATGTGTTCAAATATTTTCTAACATCTCCCCAGACAATGTGTTCAAATATTTTCTAACATCTCCTCAGACAATGTGTTCAAATACTTTCTAACATCTCCTCAGACAATGTATTTAAATGTGTTTCCTGTATGTATGATCAATAAATAAAGTATATGTGATAACATTCACCCTGTTTTCTGCTCCCCGCCTGGCGATAAAACAATTAACAGATGCAATGTGTAATTATTAAACAAATATGCAAGCTGCAGACCCACCAGTAATCAATGCACCCAGGGGATTAAAACCTTTTTCTTCACTGCATAAAGCATATCTGTTCCCATTCTATTAAAATCCCCAGAAGAAAAACTATAAAGTAGAATGACATAAGTTCAGCCACTAGAGCGAAACAACAGTATTTGGTGACCTATAGTTATTTATCTGCAAAGTATTTGTAGCTTTTTTTTTTTCTACTCCTGGAATGCCCCGCAGTGTCAGGGCAGGAAGAGATCTCTGGAAATGGCCCTAAATTCTTAATATATATTAAACAACCAGTATATCATAAATATTCATTACACAGCTGTAACAGATGCAGCAAACATGTCTAAAATCAGCTAAATGCTTACAATTACCTTTGAATCATATGCTAGAGAACAACAAATGGAACAGTTAGCTGTTGACATATGTTTAACAGATGAAAAACAAGTTAGCAAGTCCCCAGTTTCTAAACCTTTATTGACCAAACAAATATGAAAATTTGACAGCCCCTCTGGGGATTTTGGGGCCCCATTCCGAGAGACAAAAGAAAGGATCACTGCCCCCGTCTAACAAGCATGCTGTACAATACCACTAATTAGGGTGTTTCTTTAGAAGTCAGAATGCATCTGCCTGAGAGATAAGGAACCAACAGCCTGCATACAATAAGCCAGATCTGTAAAACATGTGCAGGCAAAACAAGGCTAAAGTCCAGAGGTGGACAAATACCTAGAACTTTCCACCGCAGATTACAACTGGTGAATGCTAAGAAGAAGATTTGCCTGCCAGCAACAGCCACTGCACTAAGAAGCTGCACCTAAGGCCAAGAAGGTAACATCATGTTACTACTTTATAGAATGGTGTGGGAATGGTTTTCTTCTGTTGGCATTTAGGACAATATGGCTAGTACAGTCGAGTCTGGATAAGTAGAAGTCGCAGGGACCTAAGAAAATGCTTCCACTTAACAGGATTTCTACTTATCCAGACAGCACACACAATAGAGAAAATTGCCGGGACTAAGCTGGTCATGTCGACTTAACCTAAATTTGACTTATCCGAGATCGACTTAAGTGGACTCGACTGAATCCACAAACTGTGCAGCTTAGATTTATAATTTGTATTGTCCCTTCCCTTACTCCTGAACGAGAGTCCAGCATTCCAACCACCAGTCCCTTCTCACGACTTGAGTTTAGTGGTTTGAATTAGAACGAGAGCAAGAGAATTTAAGAACCCCTGTATAATGAACTGCTAATTCAAGTCTTTAAACAGTGAACATGAATGTAAGCCTGTATAGGGGTACAAGAATCTCCATAAGAAAACAGCTGCAATACAACCAACGACCAGGGGAAGCAACAGAGCAGGTATAAATAAGGAAGTTAAAAACACTACGAATTGCATGTAATTCCTGTTGGCAACTTTCCAGAGAAAACAAAACGCGCCATGTTCAATCAGCATCCCCGAAGGGGAAGCTTTAGGTTATAATTGTGACTATGCTTTTGTGCACCATATAAAATGGCATAGCACAGCTTGCCACCAAGTAGCCCCAAAAAGTCGTGCAGTGTTGATGCAAACTCCAGTGACAGATTCAAATACTGTCCTGATCGGCGATGAAGTCGTCTACCAGGAAGCCAACAGGCAACCCGGCTGCCAATGTGTTTCCGTCTGTCTTGATGATAAGGTTATATTGTGCCACGTCGAGTGTGAACAGCAACAGCTGCTGGCAACTCTCATGTGATAGTGGCACACTTTACCAGTGCCTGTCAGCTGAGAACACCAGCTGGGTCCTAAGTGTTAACTTTACAGTCGAGTGTTTGTCCAGCCATGTGGGACTTGTCCCACTTGTGTTCAAATGCTCCCAAAAATGAATTAACACAAACAAGAACTTACCGGTAGCGACGCCGGCCTCTAGTACAATCTCGTGCCAAATGTCCAAACTCTAGGCAGTCATAACATCTGCGATTACGCCCCCCTCCGACGTTCCGTGCTCCTTTCACACGTGGTTTTGCAATAGACACTCTGATTCTTTTCCCATTTAAAGACCTGAAGTTGGAAAACAAACAGACTGCACTGATGCAACAGGCTGATTTTCTTCACATATAATGATACAGAGTTTAAAAAAAAATTTTAACAGGCTACAATGATGAAACACAATATCAATTCATTTTATTACATTGTGATATCAAGTCTGAAAACAATCTTAACAACTACAATGATAAACAATGAATTCACCAAACATAAACTATGATAAGGTAACTCAATCGGGAGGGGGGCGAAAAGAGGTGGTGTACCTGGAGGTCGTGGTTGTTTTTTAAACCATACCCTTTTTTCGAGCTTGTACCCCCTGAACTCTATTCAACAGTAATAAAAACTAGTATCAAAGAAATGATGGATAATCACACCAAAATGCCCCCCCCCCCCAACCCAAATTTGTCACCTCCCAAGAGAGGATCAGTGTACCATGTTTAAGTAAGGACAGGGCATAACAGACTTTGTTTGTACCCACATATGTTGAAGTTTTTCAGTATCAGAACCACGGAAATGTGTCTCTGCAGCCTAACACCTGAAAATGCTGAGCACGTACTCCAACAATGTAGACTGTGCTGCTCAGAATCAGAGAGGCCATCTGGCCTGTTCCAACTTTAATAACAAAGATGTACTGTACACATAGAGATTTTGATAACGGCAGTTTTCAACAAGGTTACTGGCCTCCTGATATAAGGTTTTCTGACAGAATCAAACAAATGGTGCACTAAATAAAACTTTTAAATCCAGCGTCTAGAAAATCTACATCTGCCTTCAGTTTCGTCAATAAAGCATTTGTCCTCAACCAACTCCTGCTGAGCCCTTTGTGGACTTATGCAAGATTAAATGTTTCAGCTTCAGTTCTCCACGGATGAAAGTAGCCAGTCTCATGCTCTCTCCATATTCAACTTTAGTGAATTATGATATTATATTCCTCACTGTCCTCATTACCTCTTCCAGTACCAAACTTTCCATGTGGGTTCCTGGGCCCATTGTGGAGATGGAGAGGAGGGGGGCGAAAGACCCCCCAACAAGCATGCCATAAGAGGCACAAGGTGTTTTCTTCCAAGTCAGTGCATCTGCATGAGAAGTAAGCCATATCTGTAAAACCGATAAAGATAACTCAGGTTCATAACAAGATAAAACGGATGGATGAACAACCAGTACTTTCGACTAGAGTTTACAGCCAGTGAAAGCAAGGAACAAGAAATCGAGCCAAAAACTGTAAACTGCCATTACTAAAAGGTTAAAGCTGAAAGAATAGAGTCACACAAAGCATAAACACCGTAGCTCTGGCAAGAGAGCCCAGTGTTGATAACCTTTCTGCTAGCCGCACATGAAAGCAAGGCATAACAGAAATCGTGCCACCAGTCTAACAGCTGACAAATGTAAACTGCCATTATTTGTTGGTTAAAGCTGAAAAAATGAGATGGACACAATAGCATCCATCTTCCGTAGCTTCGTTGACAAGAGAGCCCAGTGTTGACTACAAAAGCAAACATTTGTTGGTTGCAAGCCACAAAATGCTGATGGCAACAAATACTTACTCTCCATCCATCTTCCTGACAGCTTCGTTAGCATCATCCAAGTATTTGTACACTACAAAAGCAAACATTTGTTGGTTGCAAGCCACAAAATGCTGATGGCAACAAATACTTACTCTCCATCCATCTTCCTGACAGCTTCGTTAGCATCATCCAAGTATTTGTACACTACAAAAGCAAAGCAGGGAGGGATTTTGGCCACCCAGACCTCTCTGAGAGGCCCAAACTTTTCAAAAGCTCTGCTGATCTCTGTTTTAGAAGGATCAAGGCCGAGATCGGCAATATGAACTCTGCACATATTCTCATCATCAGAAGCTGGACTGCGACTAGAACTTCTATGTTTGCGATCTTTTTCCCCAGAACGACTCCGGCTGCGACTTCTGCTTTGACTAGCACTCTGGCTCCGACTTTTTGATCTACTTGATGATCGACCCATTTTTTGTTCTTCTGAAATACACATTCAAATTAAAGTAAAATTATATAATAACATACACACAAAAATATATCAGAACAAGAAAAAACTGCATTATATAAAATGAAGATCATCTAATGCAATAAATCCCTGTCATTTAATGGTGAATAATTAAAAAAAAATGTGAATGCTACACAGAACCAATTCGAAGACAGTGAATTCGGGAAAAATTATGGAACAAGCAAACAATTCACTAACCTTTGCACCCTGGGAACACTTAATAAAATGGGTCAGTGGGAATTCTAAAAAAAAGTAATCATTCTAAAAAAACAACATCCGTTTTACACAGGTCACTAATGCATTTAAAAAAATGTATTTATCTACACTTATTATTTTTTTGCAGATATTTGTGCCTTTCCGCCAACACATCCGACTTCTGCAAGCATTGTTGATCAGGTTAGACTTCCTGGTTAGTTACACGGGACACTGCAGTCTCATTGTTGTGTGGTCATCTTCATTTCCTAGGTCAGAGGTGGTGCCCCATAAAAGTCCGACCTAGAGAAGCCACGTAATGTTAGTCAGCCCTCAAGAGAAGCAGATCATAAGCATTCCACACTATCCAAGGAGGCTTCCACAAATGCAGAGCCAATACATGGTGCTCTGGTACTGGGCACACAAAAGGAATCGTCATGTTTTCTGCTCATAACTGTTTAAACTCACTTCCATATACACTTTAAAGTGTTATTCCAAAATTTAAATATTCACTGCTCTTGTGGCTGCAAAACCATGGCAATTTAAAACATATTTGATGAAGTTCTGAACACCGGTCCAAAATTATTCACCGCAAAAAACATCCCTTTGAGAGCCTCAAGAGGGTATGTAGTAAACACTATTAGGCCATCATCTTTAGTTTCTAATTCTGCCATTATTGCTCAATGGATAGCACGGTTTAGACATTAAGCTAAGCGCCGTGAGAAGGAATAGTTTTCCATCCATTGAAGTGTCAAGGGGAGGAACAGATTTTGATCCATAGTTTATGCGATGTGGGGAGTAGTTTTTTATCCATCAAAGTGCTGTAGGAGGAATATGTTTTGATTCATTGCTCGTTACTCGACTTGTGGGTTGCAGGGCCACATGTCTGGGGGGTGGGGGGGGGATTGATCCACTGCCACCTAAAAAGCATGTTGTAAAAGGCAACTAATTAGGCCTTTGCTGAAACTAAACTGGATGTGTTAGGACAAATGGCGCAGATATCGAGCCTAGCTGTAAACCACAACACAATGTGCCAACCACCCTTTTTAGGGCTACAAAAAATACTTATCCCTCAAAGGGGAATAGAACACCGGTATCCCGCTTGACAGGCGGAATACTTATAACTGTACCACAAAAGACTTGAGAATTTGGCTTAATTTAAATTATTAACGCAAAGCATAGTGCGTTGTGTTTCAAATTTATAACTATATGAACTCTTGAGGCCCTGAATGGGATTTTTTTTTAACAGTGACTGAATATTTTGGGACCGGTATTCGGGAGAACGCCCACTTAAACACCTGCTGAATTTCATTTCTTCTACCATTAAAAGCAATAAAACATTAGCACATAAATTATCATCCAAATTCAAAATGTACATTAATTTCAATCTTTTAATTGATGCATATACTTAATCTTGTGTACGAATTAGAAATATGTTACTGTTACATTGCTTTTATTTTACACCAGCCTCGCTGCCATTTTTGAAAATGGAAATTGGCTGTCCTCCGAATAACGGGCACAAAAGATGGCGGCTAAAAACTACCTCAGTCACGTGTCAATTGCGCACTTTCGGCGACTCTGCAGAAGCTGCTACTCGTGAGTCCTAGCCATCTAGTTTAGCTCCAATCCACGCTGCATGAGCGGCGTAGGGGACTCCAGGCGGTAGTCGCCGGAAGTGCGCAATTGACACGTGACTGAGGCTCTGTTAGGTTTTTTTGCGGCCGCTATCTTTTGTGCCCGTTATTCGGAGTATAGCGTGATAGGCGGGAAATTATTGAGCCGATGTCAAATTGAAAATGAAGATGCATGGGCCTAAAACTAAGTTAAAGGTAACGACTTAATTTACGCCTTCACAGCATGACAACAGCCAGTGTGCACTAAATCGCATATTGTTCCTCCCCACGTCGCTAAACGGTATGATTGATTGGTTTATAATGATGTCATTGACACAAATAATATATGAGGTTGGATCAAACACAGTGACTATATGCGAAATAAGGAAGATCAATGCTCGATAGTGACGGATAGTGTCCCGCAAAAGTTATTATATAACATTCAATGCTGTGAAAAATATGTGAGAACTGCTATTCAAGAAGAATTAAACGATACAGTCCCCCATACAATATTTAAGAAACACACGAAAGATCAGTACATTATCTGTAGTAGCTTCGCTGCTGTCTGGTTAAATAACAGCGTCGTATATATTAGCCAGTGAATCAAGATGGCCGTTAGCTCACAGACACGCAAACTCCATGTTCCACAGTCCACAGTTCTGTGACGTACTTCCGCCAGTGGTTGCCCGAATGCAGTACATAGTATAGGTAAACTAATGGAGATGGTCTGTGATGTTTCTTGTCTACGCGGCCAAATATAAGATTTAACAAACATTAACAAACATCGTCATCAGTTTTTTGCTTTTGCCGTTAAGCGTCATGGGGATGAACAGTTTGCGGCCCAACGCTTGATCTTGACTGGCTGTTGTCATTCTGTGTGAAAATAAAAAATCTTTAGTGCATCTTCAGTTCATATTCTCATTGGGCGCCCCATGTTAGGGCCCTTTGGGAGCGAGTGAACAGTGCGGAGGGGCAAACAGATCCTTACGGTCTGAGGAGAATGGCGTTGCAAGTAGATAAAAGGGGATCTGGCCGACGCTCAACACTTTAGGAAAAAGCGAGACAGATATACAATCAGACTGTTACTGGTGCCATCGGAATAGGAATGAGTTGAGTTGAGTCAAGAATTGCCATCTCAGCACTCGGGGCATTCCCATGCATGCTCCGTCCTCATCTTCAGCAGCCAGAGCAGAGTTCCAATACTGATAGTACCGGTCACAATATGGTTAAAAGTCCGTCTTGCCTTTCCTCTGAGTGTAGTGAGCTGGCCAGACCCTCTAGTTACACCCAGGTGCCTCATTCTCTCCAGGCCATAATAATCTTTTTTCTCTACTGATTCCGTTGCTTGTTCCCAAAAGGCTTTGACCACATCTGCCTTGTCATCTGCAACACAGTGGTGCGGATCCAGCCAATCTGTCTGCCTGTTCGTTACCCACCACGCCGGCATTTTCTGGAGAAAAGATCCAAAGTATGCTCACCACCCGTGACCTTTCCAGTGAAGCTAGTCACTCTGCTCGAAGCATCCCTGTCTTCACCCTTTTCAGCATGCTTTCAGAGTCTCTTACAATTACGAAATGTGTATGCATCTTGTTCTCTAGCCACCGGATAGCTGCACCTCCACCTCCAATCTCATGCTAAATGTTGTGGTGTCATGTGCTAGGCTGTATTGCACTACAGATTTTCCATTGGCTTTCGATACAATACCACAGGCACTTCTCTTCCCTCTCAGAACTGAACCATCTGTGTAGATAATCAGATCACCTGAGCGTGAATTGCCGTGAATCAACTGTTGAACTTCAACCTCCGTAGCACCCGCAGGCCACTCTCTGCACGCCAGGCTCAATGTTATCATAACCCTAAACAGGTCAGACTTTCCCGCTGGTACTCTGACCCACTCCTCTCCTTACCCAATGTTCTCCAGCATGCATACTTGTCTTATTGTGTCTTCTGCTCGAGCCATCCACGATTCTCCTCTTTTCAGCCTCAGACCCTTGCCAGCAGCCATAGCTTCATACAGAGGGTGTTCCCTGTCTGCAGCTACTCTGAGGTACAACTTAGCCTGCATCACCTTTAGCCTATCTGCAATAGTCGGCAATGCTAGGATTCATCGCATGCACACAATCGGCGTGTCTCTTGTACAACCCATGATCAGCCGCATAGCTTCATTCTGTATGCGCTCCAGTTTCTCAAGATGACTCTTCGAGACAGTGAGTAATCCCAGTTCATAATCAATCACTGAGATGATTAAGTGCTGGTAAAGTGTGAACAGCATTCTCTGCTCCATGTCCATCGCTGTCATAATCTTTAGTGCGTTTAGACCGTTTTGAGCCCTTGTCACAACTCCCTCTATGTGATCCCTGAAAGACAAACTTCTGTCAAAGATGATTCCTAGGTACCGCAGTCTGTTGTCTCTTTTGATGTCCCTGCTATTTATTTTAAGTCTGGGAACATCAGCCCTAGCAATCCTGTTGTCCAAAGAACACTACAGGACAAATGCCTTTTCTGTGTTGATTACAGCACACATTTCTGTACACCATTCAATCAGCTTATCTACTGTTGCCTGTAACTCTTCGGCTATTTGATTCCGATCTCTCCCCTTCCTATATACAACAAAATCACCCGCAAATATCAATTTTCTGCCAACTTCAGGTGTTTCCAGATAGGCAATCTTGCTCGTAAAAGCCTTGAATAGTACAGGTGAAATTGCAGATCCCCGTGGTAGTCCTGGAGCTATAATACATCGTTCAGAGGTCTATGAACCCAGGCGGAGAGCTACTTGGTGAGTATACAAAACAGATGCTAACCAATTCACCGACCAAGGACAGATTCCCTTCTCCATAAGCGCTTTCATCAAAATACTGTATTTGACTCTGTTGTAAGCGTCTTCTAAATCGAGTGCCGCTGCCACCGTTTCCTGTCTGTTCTGGAAACCTTAGAAGGTATCAAAGGCAAAAGTGGCTGCATTTGACCATGTGTTCTTCCCCGACCGGTAACTCCACAATCCTCGTGGAAGAATATTACTTTGTTCCAAAAATTCTTGTAGCTTACCCGCCACTATCTTCTCCAGCACTTTACCAAAGGTGTTATGTACGGTTACGATCCTAAAGCCCCCAAGTGTTGAATGATTTTTACCAGGCTTAGAAAGTGGAATCAGGTAGC